AAGGCAAGCGAAGGCAGCCATTATGAAAGCGGCTCGACAGTGTGGGCTGCCTTCAGCGGCAGGGCAGCAGATGGCCGCCTTGCAAAAAGAGCTGGGGGAGATGCGCCGAGAAATGATCCGGCTGACAGCCTCCAATGCGGCTATGGAGGCCGAGCTTCGGTCAGCCAAGGCCGAGCTCGCCGCTGCTCGTGAGGGTCGACCCCGAGCCTCGCAGCCAGTGGAGGCCGACATAATCGGCCTGGTGCGGCGGGAGATGGCTGCGTTCCAGCAGCGTTTTGACGTGCTGGAGAGCAGGATCCTCCGCCCCCCACTCGCAGGGAGTCAAGCAGCACCGCGCACATTTGCGGCTGCGGCAGCTATGCCGACTACTCCTGGTCGGTCCAGCCGCGGTGTCCGGGCCCAACCGCCGGCGGCTTCGCCGGCGCAGGCTCCAGCTGAACCGGTGGTGAGGGCGTCAACAGTTTGTAGGCGAGGGAGCGCCGTGGCTGGGCCGCCTACTGCCCCAGCTGTGGAGCCTACCCGAACTTCGGGTTCCCCTGCCATCGACGGCGGATGGCAGGTGGTCGGAGAGGCGAGGAGGGTCGCCAAGCAAGGGCGAAAGCGCCGAAAAAAAGGAGCAGCGGCAGAGGCAGCGGCAGCGGCGCAAGGAAAAGCGCGCTGCGGCAATGCTTGTCGCCCCTAAAACCGCGGCTGTAGTGATAACTCTACAGCCGGACGCGGTCAAAAGAGGCGTGACATATGGCGACATCCTCGCCAAACTGAAGCGGGCAGTAACTCCCGCGGAGTACGGGGCCCCTAACGGGTTCTCTTTGAAAGTGACGGCGACTGGAGCCCGTTTACTAGAGGTCCCCGGCGCGACCAGCGGTCCAACCGCTGATGCTTTAGCCGAAAGGCTCAGAGTGTGCCTCGGTGCAGACGAGGCACGCGTGTCAAGGCCAACCAAGTGCCTGGAGTTGCGTATAATGGGCCTGGACGACTCCGTGACGGAGGAGGAGGTCGTGACCGCGGTGGCCAGGACGGGTGAGTGCCCTGCAGAGCAGGTTAGGGCCGGCACCATCCGTGCAGATAATTCGGGGTTGCGAACGGTTGTAGTGAGCTGCCCCGTCTCAGCGGCCAAGAAAATAAAGGAGGGTCGAAGGCTCCTGGTAGGCTGGGTCTCGGCGCAGGTCAAACTGCTCGAGGTCCGACCTATAAGGTGTTACCGCTGCCACGTAGGTGACCACGTGAGCGCTAGGTGCACCTCGGAGGTAGACCGCAGTGACTGCTGCTTCCGTTGCGGTCAGCCCGGTCACAGAGCCGGGTCGTGCTCTGCCCCGCTGCACTGTCACGCATGTGCGGCGGTTGGTAAGCCGGCCAATCACCGGGTCGGGAGCAAGGCCTGCTCCCCTCCTGCCAAATCCAGGGGCAAGGGTAGGCCCTCCGCTGCCCCCGTCAGTCTCGCCGCCGCCGCTGCAGTCGCCACTGCTACCGTCGCCGCGGCCACCACTGGCTGTAATGCCGTCAGGGAAGAGGCTGGGATGGATTGCCAATAATAGCTCCATTCCGCCTCCTTCAGGCGAACATCAACCACTGCGCCGCCGCTCAGGATCTCCTGCTTCAGAGCATGGCGCAGTGGTCAATAAATGTCGCTGTGGTCTCCGAGCCGTATTTTGTCCCGCCCAGGGATCTCTGGGTGGCAGACTTGGACGGCTCGGTGACCATCATCTCATCAGCCGCCGCCGGTACCCCGACTCTCGAGGCCGTTCAGAGAGGCCGGGGTTGTGTCGCAGCACGGTTCGGAGAGATCGCTGTGGTGGGCGTGTATTTCTCTCCGAACCGAACTCTCGCCGAGTTCCACAACTCCCTGAGGGAGTTGGTCGCCGTCGTTGTCGGGTTCCGTTCCCTCCCCGTGCTCGTCCTCGGGGACTTCAATGCCAAAAACTTGGCTTGGGGTTCCCGGTTTACTGACGTTCGGGGTAGGATGGTGGAAGACTGGGCCCTTGAGGCAGGCCTAGTCGTCCTGAACCGGGGGTCTGTCCCCACGTGCGTGCGGATGCAGGGCGAGTCGGTGGTGGACATTTCGTTCGCTAGCCCTGCTCTGTCACCGCGTGTTGTTGACTGGCGCGTCATGGAGGAGGTGGAAACGTACTCCGACCACCGGTATATCCGGTTTAACGTCTCCACCGAGTCCGCGGACCCGCTGGTCAGACAGGCCCCATGTGGCCCGCGTTGGGCGCTGAGACAGCTGGACCGGGAGCTATTCCTGGAAGCCGCAATCGTGCAGGCCTGGGTGATACCACCGGACAGGCCTGCCGACATCGATGAGGAGGCGAGGTGGCTCCAGGACGCCATGTCCAGAATCTGTGACGTGGCGATGCCCCGGGTCCGGCCAGCTCAGCGCAAGCGCCAGACGTACTGGTGGTCGCAAGAGCTGGCTGCTCTACGCAGTGCATGCACTGCTGCGCGACGCCGGTACACCAGGCACCGCAGGCTTCGTATCCGTCCTCAGGACGCAGAGGTCAGAGAGGCGGAGTTGTACGAGGGGTACAAGGCGGCGAAGGCCGCCCTCAAAGCGGAGATACGGCGGGCTAAAGAGAATGCCCTACAGGAGTTCTTGGAGACTCTGAACAGAGACCCGTGGGGACGCCCCTATCGGATGGTGCGGGATAAGCTCCGTACATGGGCTCCCCGCTGACTCAGAGTCTCCGGCCAGAGGTAGTGGAGGAGGTGGTCGGCGCCTTGTTCCCCCGACTACAGATGGGTTTCACCCCTCCGTCCATGACTCCGCCCCCTGCGGTGCCCTGTGTGGGCCACAGCGAAGACGACGGCGACACAGTTTCGGAGGTGACCGAGGCCGAGTTGAGAGCGGCGGTGCGCCGGATGGGCGTCAAAAACACCGCCCCGGGATCCGACGGACTGCACGGCAAGGCGTGGGTCCTGGCCTCGGAGGCTCTCGAGCCTCGATTAATTGGTCTCTACAGCGCATGCTTGGAGAGGGGCCAGTTCCCGCTATTGTGGAAGGCGGGTAAATTGGTCCTAGTGAGGAAGCCGGGGCGCCCTGCGGACTCTCCGTCCGCGTACCGGCCCATCGTGTTGCTCGACGAGGTGGGAAAAGTTTTCGAAAGGATCATTTCCAACCGCCTCGTCGCGCACCTGTCGGATGTTGGGCCGGACCTGTCGGACGGCCAGTTCGGCTTCCGCAGAGGGCGTTCCACGGTGGACGCCATCATGCGTGTAAGAGACCTCACGACGGGGACTGCAGTGTCCAGGGGTAAGGTCGTAGTGGCGGTGTCTTTGGACATCGCCAATGCCTTCAACTCCTTGCCCTGGAGCTGCATTTTGGAGGCACTTCGATATCATCGGGTGCCTACCTACCTCCGTCGTGTAATCGAGGCATACCTGACGGAACGGTCCGTCATGTACCCCGGTCACCGAGGTGAGTGGAACCGGCGAGAGACGTCGCGCGGTGTTCCACAGGGTTCGGTTCTGGGGCCGCTCCTGTGGAACATCGGCTATGACTGGGTGCTGCGCACCGACCTCCCACACAACGTCAGCGTGGTCTGTTACGCTGACGACACACTGGTGTTAGCACACGGGAGGTCGCATCAGGCGGCGGCTAATTTAACGGCGAGAGCGGTTACGACAGTCGTTGAAAGAATCCGGCAACTGGGACTCGAGGTGGCGCTCCACAAGTCCGAGGCCATGTGTTTTCATGGCCGCGGGAACGCGCCACCTCCGGGTGAGTCCCAATTAACGGCGGGAGGGGTTACCATCGGCGTCGAGACGACGATGAAGTACCTAGGACTCGTCCTCGATAGTCGGTGGAACTTCGTGGAGCATTTCCGACGTTTGGCTCCTAAGTTGGAAAAGACGGGGGCGGCGCTTAAGCGCCTCCTACCCAACCTCGGGGGGCCAAACGCCTCCTGCCGGAGGTTATACGCCGGGGTCGTGCGGTCCATGGCCCTCTACGGCGCCCCTGTGTGGGCGCCGAACCTGATGCGGCGGCCCTCTCGGGCGCTGCTCACATCACAGAGGGTCATGGCGATCCGATTGATACGGATATCGCACGATCTCCGGGGAGGCGGCGAACCTCCTTGCCGGATTACCGCCGTGGGATCTGGAGGCGAAGGTGCTCGCGCGCGTGTTTTGTTTGCGCGCGGAGGCACGTCGCCGGGGCGAAACTCCGCTGCCGCGCCAGATTAATGCGTGGCGGGATGAGCTCCGGCGTGATCTCATGGCGGAATGGCAGCAACGACTGTCGCAACCGAAGGCTGGGCTCGCTGTCATTGCAGCGGTAAGTCCCCTCTTTGAGGAGTGGCTTGAGAGACGCTACGGCGTCCTCACCTACCGCCTGACGCAGGTGCTTACCGGACACGGAAGTTTCGGTAGGTTCCTGTTTCGGATTGGGCGGGAGGAAACGCCCGGGTGTCATCACTGTGAGGATCGCCCGGAGGACACGGTGGAGCATACGGTGGCGGTGTGTCCTGCGTGGACTGAGCACCGCCGTGTCCTCAGGAATGTGATCGGCGACGGCGACCTCTCGCGTCCGGCTCTGGTTCAGACCATGGTACGGAGCGAGGGGGACTGGGATGCCGTCTCCTCCTTCTGCGAAGCAGTCATGCTAGCTAAGGAGGAGGCGGAGCGCGTGAGGGAACGAACCTCCTCACGACCCGGCCGTCGCGAGAGACACTCAGGGCGTCGGGGATTGCGAGACGATCTCCGGCCACCGTAAGCACGGGCCTGCGGACGGCGAGCATGGATGACTCGCCGCCCGACCAGAACCAGGCCCGAGCGTACGGCGCGTCGCGTTCCGCGCGCGCCTCAAGGAGCCATCAGACCACCACAGATGGGGCCTAACAAGGCTGATGCCGATACGGAGCCGCGGAAGACTTAACGGGTTGCCGGGGCTCCGGCTCGAAGTGCAGGAGTAGGAACGGGGTGGTTTTTAGTCAGTAAGAGTCTGACACTCCCTCCCGCCTCACCCAGGCGGGAGAAGTCATTGGATGATTTTCCCCCCAAAAAAAAAAAAAAAAAAAAGTGCTAACATTGGTACTATTTGGTACTTTGTCAGTAATTCCGTGTCGGTTATGTGTGTGTATGTAGAATTATAAAATTGTAAATATTGCTACATTGTTTTTGTGTGATAACACACACACACACACACACACAAAAGTTACTCTCAAGTACAACTTAATATTTAGTAGCCTTTCAATGTTCGGGCGTTATGATGGTACTCTTCCTATATGTATAGACTCGTCGAGTTTTTGTCAATTACGTAGTCGGTGATTTGTTTTTTTTTTCAATTTTTTTTAAAACCAAAACATTTTCACTTCTATAAAATCTATAAGCCCAAAAGGAGTTAGCGGGACGAATTAGACATCTATGATAAGGATTGACTGCAAAAAGCTTAACATAGAGAGGAGTAGAAGGAGGGTAGGGAGGCCTTTACCCTGCAGTGGGACGATCATGGCTGAAGATAAAATAAATAATAAAATCTACAGGAACTGTGGACAAAACAAATGCACATTGAAATTTCAAATATGTCTACAATCTTCGCTCAGAATGCTCTTGTGTGGACAATGCCTCGTCCATTCCCGACCAAAACAAACATTTTCAACCAGTCTGTAGTTCCTATAAATAAAACTTACCTAGCATTATGAAAAATTCAAACCTCCTTTATTGTTTTCATAGTCGGGTAAAGCGACTCGAGCGTGCATTAAAAGATTATGATATCGGGCGCGCAGTTCATGATATTAAAAGAAAGGAAAATATACAGTTGAACCTTAATTTCGCTATATCCTTTATAAGGTTGAGGTAGATACAGAATTTTATTTAAAACATACCACATCGACATATAACCTCCGTAAACTCTTCCAATAAGTTTAAACTTTATTGCAGAACGATATGGTTGAAAATCTATTTTTGATGGACGATTTTACTAGGTGAAATACCACGCTCTTACACAATACCATCGAAAAGCAGTGACGTAGAAGATTTTGTATCAACATTTTTGTGGACTCACGACTGTGACGTCATCAATAAATGGTTTACAATGCACTCGTGACATCATTGATGTTGGTATGCGGTGTACCTACCTCCTACCAACAACACTAAGGTGTATAGAGTTTGAGTGGGTTTTTTTTAAGGGGACCACCATACAATAACTTTTTCTGCCTTGGATGAGACAAGTAGTGTCAGATAGACAGTGGGTGAATCAGTAGATAGATCACAAGATAGTAACAGTTCCACGGCAGAGTATTCACACATATTTTTGCATTGAGTAGGGCTCAATTATTTTTATGAAATTATTTCACTCATGTTTCAGACTTTTCAATTATCTAATTTTTTTTGAGGGTGTTAATCATCCAATGGCTTCTTCCACCCGTGTGAGGTGAGAGGGACTCTTACTGACTAAAAACCACCCCATTACTCAAAGTCAAAAGTCAAATTCAAAATCATTTATTTCAATTAGGCCAGAATGGCACTTTTGAACGTCAATAAAAACAAAAATTTAAAGTGAAGCTATTTGCTCATTCCAAGCTACTACTACTGCTCTTCTGGCTGGAGCCCGACATCTCGTTAAGTCCTCCGCGGCTCCTCCGCATTATTCTAAGTAGAACTATATTTACCTCCAAGTGGCCAGTTGGTTTTGTTGCTACACTAAATATTTTTTTAAATTTTTTTTGGCGTAAGCCGGTAAACGAGCAGACGTATCACCTGATGGTAAGCAATCGGCGTCGCCCATGGACACTTGGAACACCAGAGGCGTTACAAGTGCGTTACCGGCCTTTTGGGGATTAGGAGTTTGAGGATCGTTGAGGATTCAGGGATTGGGGAACGGGAGGGTAATTGGGCCTCCGGTAACCTCACTCACACGACGAAACACAACGCAAGCACGTTGGTTCACGTCGGTTTTCTGTGAGGCCGTGGTATCCCTCCGGTCGAGCCGGCCCATTCGTGCCGAAGCATGGCTCTCCCACATTTGTGAAGTAGTACTTTACAAATTCATATAGAGGTAAGTAGTTGAATATTATTTGCTTATGTCTTCGTATCTACCTATTATATGAAACGTAATAGCAATTTTTTCTGCATTTTAAAACTGCTCATTTTTATTAAAATGTTGCAGATAAAAATTTGTTAAAAATTTCTCTCTATAAAAAGAAAAAAATTGTAAACGAAGTGCGAAATTTTTAATTATAAAAATATAACACGTTCAGTCTGCTACGAATATTGTACTTAGTGTAAAAAATAATAAGACAACTAGAGAGGTGGTATGCCATGTATTTTTTTAAGCGAAATTACAAAAATAACTATATAAAATTTAATTTGAAAATAATTACATTTTCAACCGTTCTGATGATAATTAATTTTATGTTATATATTATTATATATTTTTATTTTAAGTATATTTTTGTAATTTTTAGTTTTTTTTCAATTGTCACAAAATCTGATAAAAGTGTCATTGTTACTGTGCATGTTGTGACACCTTAAAATGTTGGACATTTAAAATTTATTACTATGCAAGTGCTTAGATGTAAGACTTAATGTAACACCTACTGGTTGTCCAAATCTTTATAAATATAAAAATGAAACCCGTTTCCCGTTGTCACGCCATAACTTGAGAATGGCTGGACCGATTTGACTGATTTTTTTTTGTTGTGTTTGTTATTGTCAGGAGAAGGTTCTTATAATAGAAAAAAATCCTGATAATCTTATGGGAACGGGATTGCGCGTACGGAGTCATGGGCAGAAGCTAGTTATAAATAAATAAATGAATAATTTGGAACCTATACACAATTATATACGTACATGTCAACTAAAACAACAGTTTCTTTGTTATAAACCTCAATTTTCTTCTATAATAATTAAAGACAACCAACTCAATAACAATTCTTCATAACTAGTTTTAACTAACATTATTAATAGTTCCTAATACAGCTATCAATTTCTTGGTAAACTTTTATAATAGCTTCATATTCAAACATGAAAGTAATTTACGAAGCTTGGTAACTTAGATAATTATGTCATGACTATAATTTATGTTCATTTCTACAAATATGTTTGTGGTTCTTGTATAATTCTCATATTTAAACCATTGTACTATTTGTATTAACGAGAAATAGTTTGTCTTTCATTAATTTTTATGGACTATAGTCCTGTATATATATACACCCGTATATCCTCAAACGGTCACCGGTGACCGCTCTCCACTAACTATGTTATAGACCTTATTTCCGATGTTTAGAGACTACTTTTGTGTGTACAAATTTAGGGAATGATTTCCAACAACTTTCAACGGGTTTATATAGTAAACTGTATATACGTCTATAGACGGAATAAAATTTTAATTTGTTTAGAAATTCGTTATTTATTCATACATGTCTTAAAAGAAATGGTCTTTCAAAGAACCAAGTCCAACCGAAGCATGGCTCTTCCACACTTAAAAAATATATTGAGATTTTGAAACGCTGAGTGATTATGAATAATTCTCATAAAACATGTATTTTGTTAACGCAAGCACTAGCCGTAGTCAACCACATATAAAATTCATGAAATTTTGGCAGAAATTATTAATGAAAGTCATTAAACATTGATTATGGAACGACATCTGATATCTACTTTATGTAACAAAAATATACTGTAACATGAATCGAGTATTCCTTCAACCTTCAACCTTCAACCTCATCCAATATGATAAGCATGTAATTATACAGAAAGCCTCTCTCTCTTCACTTAGACTGAGCCACTTGGCTGCAATTTTGCACTCGCAGTGTGTAGACGGTATTGTTTGGTAGAGAACAGCCGAGGGAGTCGAGTGGCGCACCGGATTGGTAGGTATATATATAGAGGTAATGTAAGTCTATATTTAGAGTTACGACATGAAATCATAAATTATGTTTTGGGAGGAGACATAATGGTTATAACATAATCTATACAAATAAATAAAATTGGAGTGTCTGTTTGTAATATTAAAATAACTGCTTCCTACTACATGCATATGAATGTATATACGGTACACATTCTAAAATATATTTTTTTACAATTTTTGTCTGTCTGTCTGTCTGTCTGTCTGTCTGTTTGTTCCGGCTAATCTCTGGAACGCCTGGACCGATTTGGACGGGACTTCCACTGGCAGATAGCTTATGTAATAAGGAGTAACTTAGGCTACTTTTATTTTAGAAAAAAATCTTTTATTTTAGAAAAATAAAGTTATGTTGAAATGTTCAAGTACTGTCCAGTTCCGCGCGCAGCTCACGCGCATGCCACCACTGTGTCGTCACATCGGATGTCGATCGGATGTCGTCTGTCTTTGTTACTGCATCAGGGATCAGGGATTTTAAAGACAAAATACGAATTCAATTGACTGAATACAATTTATTCATAGACTAGCCTCTATCTGCGGCTTCTCTCGCGTTCTTTTAATGGGGTGAGGGAAGGATTTACAATAAAAAATGAAATGATGCACGATTCTATGCTGGTCACAAATAACCCGCATACCAATTGTTAGCTTTCCACATTGAAAATTGCAAAATACCCATACAAACTTTCACCTCTGTTTCACGGAAGTGGAAGGGAGTTAGAAAAAGACAAAAAGTAGCCTATGATACTCTCCATCTTTTCAACTATCTCAAATCAAAAACCTTCCTGACTCCGTTCTGTCGTGAAATACGGACAAACAAACAAACAAGCACATACAAATTTATATTATTAGTATACATTTCTTAAGTCATCTGACATTTGTGTGACAAGTGAGTTTACAAAGTCAATGTGTCATAGATTTTTTTTATACTATGGTATTAATATTAAGGTATGCAAAGAGGTTGACAGCAGTCTAAGGAGATAAAACCACGAATAAAATATTTTCAGTTTACTTGAATTCGTATTTTTTATATGTATATCTAGCTAAATGCACATAGCTAAAAAATAATATTAGTCCTTTTCATTTTAGACCGTCAAGGCCAAATTCACTATGATAGTTTGCTGTTTGTTTATGGCATAAGCCGGTAAACGAGCAGACGGATCACTGCGCGCCCATGGACATCTGTAACACCAGAAGTGCTAGAAGTGCGTTACCGGTCTTTTGGGAATTGGTAATTTGAGGATTGTCAGGGATTGGGGGGCTGGGGGAGGGGTAATTGGGCCTCCGATAACCTCACTTACACAGCGAAACACTCCTTTAGGTAACCGACGGCTGGGCTCGCTGTCATTGCAGCGGAAAGTCCCCTCTTTAAAAGTGGCTTTATAGAGGCCATCAATGCAAGGACCGCCCGGAGAACACGGTGGAGCATACCGTGGCGGTGTACCTTGCATGGGCTGAGCACCGCCGTGTTCTCAGGGATGTAGGAATCGGTGACCTCTCGCGTTCGGCTCTGGTTCAGGCCATGGAGCGAGGGGGATTGGGATGCAGTCGCATCCTTCTGCGAAGCAGTTATGCTTGCCAAGGAGAAAGCGGAGCGCGTGAGGGAATGAACTTCCTCACGCCCCAGCCGTCGCGGGAGACACTCTGGGCGTCGGAGATCGGCCGGCCACCGGCCACCGTAAGTGCGGGTCTGTAGACGAAGAGCAAGGGTAGCTCGCCACCCGACCAGAACCAGTCCCGTGCATACGGCGCGCGCCTGACAGAGCCATGACACCATCATAGATGGAGCCCAGTAGGGCTGATGCTCGATACGGTGCCGCGGGAGGCCTAACGAGTTGACGGGGCTCCGGCTCGACGAGCAGGAGTAGGAACGGAGTGGATTTTAGTCAGTAAGAATCTGTCACTCCTCTCACCTAACCAAGGCGGGAGAAGTGATTGGATGATTTTCCGACCTCAAAAAAAAAACTCCTTTAGGTAATGACAACCCGATGTGTGAAAAACTACCAAAAAAACTCCTTATATTATTGGTATTGATTACGCTGTGGAAATTATGGACAATAGAGCCAAGGGATGTATTAAGTCTTATAGAGGACATTAATATCAACATTAAAGTACATGTATCATATGTAACTAACCTAATATCAGAATACCTATTTTTTCATTTAAATGTTTGCGATAGTAACGCACGTCGCACCGGTACATATCAGGTCACATTATAGGAGAGAGGAAATCCCAAAATGACGAAAACTATGCGCTAAAAAACCGGGACCAAGGACGTTGAAATAAAGAGGGGCTCTTACCTTTTAAACCATTGAACCTATTTGGTGAAATTCGGTACAGCGATAGTTTGAGACCCGGGAAAGGACATCTAAAAGTTTTTAACTCGAAAAACCCACGAAACCGGGAACTGTGCTGTTAAAATCACTATATCTATTTGATTGAAATGCGATACAACATTGATTTGCAAACATAGAATAGTGAAACCTCACGAGACGGGCACTGTACGGGTAAAACCTCCATGGGATTGTTTATTTTAGAAACCACGAAAATAAATTCATTTCTCAATAAATATAACCTAGGTACTGAATCGATTGTGATGATATTTGTTCCAGTTGTACAGCCGTAGAATATACCTTGACAAAGACTAATTTAAAAAACCCAATTTATAAAGAAGTCGTTATTTCACGCGGACGAAGTCGCGGGTAACAGCTAGTATACTATATAAAAATGAAACCCGTTTCCCATTGTCACGCCATAACTTGAGAATGGCTGTACCGATTTGGCTGATTTTTTTGTAGTGTTTGTTATTGTCAGAAGAAGGTTCTTAAGATAGAAAAAAATCCTGAATATCTTATGGGAACGGGAGAAAACGGGATTGCGCGTACGAAATCGCGGGCAGCAACTAGTTATGAATATATATACACCTTACAATTAACTAAAACGAAAACAATGAATAAAAAAAGATTTAAAAAAAACTGAAAACGAATACCATCAGTTAGCCGTCAAAGAACTTGTTCGTAATGGTTATTGATTTGACATTTATGTGAAAAACTTTTTTTAAACTGCATGGACATATATGGTTGACTATTAAAAACAAATATTTATTTAC